ATTCGACTTGACTTATAACTTATATAACCAAATTGCCACTGAGTTACAAGCATGGGCAAACCCAAGCTGCCAGTAGACTCTGCACACTGTAGATTATGAACGTTTTGACTACGCGCTGAAACATGATCAGCCAACCAGCTACTTCATGCTGATCTGAGGAAAGCAGCTCAGTTGTGACCTTCAAATGCGTCACCCGTGTCCTTGATACGACTTCGTGCGGATGGTTCGTCCTGGAGAATGTTGATATGGATGATGAATCGAAGAACAGCAACCTCAATCTCATTCTACAATCTCTGCAGAACTCAGGACCTTCTGGTTTCAATGTGCGGTGCTTCAAAGTGGTAAGCTCTGACTTTGGGTTGCCTCAAAGACGTGTGCGGCTCTACTTTGCCGGTGTGAGCTGTCACCACTACCCAAACGTCAACATGGAAAACATCTCCAAGCACTTGAACCTTTTCAAGCTCAAGAAACAACCACCTGTGCCCCAACGGCAGTGGTTGAGTAGGACCGCAAATAACTTACAATTAGCTGCTAACTGTTGACAAGATTCAATTTGGGATTATCTCAAGACTGACTCTAGACTCTAGACTAGACCCATGATTTGATTCGATACTAATAATTATCATGTTATGTCATGAGTCATGAGTTATGATTAGTTTTATATTATTAGTATATATTCATTTTTTTGTTGTTACTTACACTCAGTCAATATATGAAGCCTCGCTGGACTGTAGTTGTTGGATGTCAAATCAATTCATGCCAAGGAAGATTATATGCTTCCCGACGATGATGATGCTGTGAATGATGAGCTGGACAGGCGCATAGAACGCAAACAAAAGGCGCAAGAGAGGACAGAGAAGGAGCTTGATCTTGATGAACCACCACCAAAAAAGGAGAAGACTTCGAAGGACAAGGACAAGGATGAAGGTAAGGACGATAATGCTAAATGGAAAACACTACACATGGGCATCGCAGAAAAGCGTAGCTTAGCTTAAGTCAAGTCACTTGAGCCAGTCAATCAAACCCAGTTTGGACAAGTAACATACTACAAATCATTGCTAGACTGACTACATATTTGTACCTTTTTGTGTTTTGTTTCATGATCGTTGCTCTCCTGAATTCCCGCAAAGACACCGTCACTGACCATATCCACATCTCTCAGGTGGAATTCGATGGCCCTTGTCTGTGCCGAAGTCGTTGACAGATTGTGAGTGGTTCCAGAGTCTATCTACAAGGGAACAAGAGGACAGACAATCGGGTATTCATGGAGAGAGTCAAGACTCAAGAGAATCAAAAACACAATTGGTTTCGGTTTCTGTCATCAGCATGTAATATGTTGTATTGTTGTTACACTAGGCTGTGCTATTGCAAAGTCATTGCAATGTCAAGAGTCAAGAGTCAAGAGTCAAGAGACCTGTGTCTAGTCTAGCTGTTGCGACAGCCTTTGAATCTGACAAGCTTGCAGAATGTGCTGTTCATGCTGGACGATCAGAAGACTCGACGTCAAGCTGGCAAGGCAGAGTTGAGATTCGGAGACTTGTACCAGTCGGCCAGTCGGCTGCCAACAAGTTCAGATCAGGAGTCTAAGCTATAAGTTGGTTTGAAGTTTCAAGTCATTCTTTAATTGTTGAAAGTTCTTCTTTCCATTCATTCAATGACTCAATGACTTGCCGACCTGCAAAATGCTTTATTCCTTCCTTGTGTGCCCAAGGAGCTTCCAACTATCCTTCCAGCCAGCAAGCTCTATGACATCAAGCGTCACCGACTACTTCTTGGATCCTTATCTTATTATTTTCCTGCTGATGTATTACATTACAGTTGGTCCTTTGTCATGTGTACTTTTGTTTTAGTTTTATCTTTAGTCTTGGTATGTCTTGGTCTTAGTGTCTGTTCACTTGTAATTGTTGATTTGGCGCCAGTCAGACTCAGAACAACTGAGGACGTGAACTGTTGCATATGCAAGGGTTGCAATATGGTTCTGCGATTGATCAGTTCTCTGAACAACAACTGACCGATTTAGCGGGCAATTCGTTACTTGAGAGATTTGATTCGGCATATTTATTTGACTGAATTTGCCTTTGACTTTGACTTTAAGTATAGTGGCTTACAACCATATGAACATGTTATGTTATGAATTTTAAACTTTCTGAACTAATTGGTGGCTGGCCCAAATCTAAGGGCACATTTATGAGAACATCACATTGTTTGATGTACTAGTACACTGAATTGTCACCTGCAGGTTTAGTTCAACGGTATGCTGTGCAGTGATTCTCAGCGTGCTCTTGGAACTTGAGCAAGCAACTGAATCTGAGATGGAAGAAGAGGAGGAGCTGACAAGCCTGGTCGATAAGCTACTAGGATCAATCAATGACAATGACAACTGTTGTGTTGAGTTGAGTTCAAACCACATGCCACTTTTTGGGGAACCACTATCATTTAAGTAAGGAGGTAGACAAAGAGGGACTATAATTACAAAGACATGACCGATCATCAAATTTGTGTGTTTCCTACACGCTGATACAACAACTTTGACGACAACGCCAACAAACAACATAACTTAACATACCACAACGCCAACACACACACACACTTACCCTGAGGTTGAAGCGCCAACGACAACCTTGATGGCGATGTGATCTACAAGATGATGGCTTTGATTTGAATGCATGATGACAGTCACTGGTGTTTTCCAGACATAGACCCAGTTGTGCAGTGTACTCACTAGAGTATGAGGGATGCATAGCTGGTCTTGATTCTTGAAGCGACCAGCCAATTCAGAGCACCGACATTTTGTGGCAAAGAGTTGAAACAGATCTCCTTTTTGCCAGTGCTATGCAGACCGAGCCGTTTGCAGACAACGACGACCTGTCACACCAAGAAGAAAAAAGGAACCTATTTCACTTTTGTGCTGCGTGTTGTTTTACTCCCATGGCTTGTGACATTGGTTTGGTCCATGTGCGTGTAACTAACTATTTGTTTATGAATATGTATACTATCTACAGTGAGCGTTTTGTACACATAAGTATGTGTACTTGCTCCAATATCGTACTCCTCGCCCAGTAGTCGCACCACCCGGCTGCACCAGTCGCACCCCCCAGTCGCTCCAGTCGCACCCCCCAGTCGCACACTCTACTCGTACCCATATCCAACATACCCTCCAGAGCATGGCTCTTGGAGTTAGCTAAATTTCACAATTCAATTCCCATGTTAATTGTTTTTTTTTTTAAGCTTTTGCTCGTCCAAAAAGACACAAAATAAGACATGGTCGACCGCTTCTTTTCTTTTCGCCGAGCTCCTCCCCACCAGGATGTGCATTCCTTCATCACCGCGGATCGCATCCCCGGAGGTGCCGAGCAGTTCGGCTGGCCGCCGGAGTCCATCAGCATCCACACGGGCACCATGGCTGTCCAGGCTGCGCTGCTGGAGGCCTCCAGAACGGAGACCAGCGATCATAACCAGGAGAGGCTGGGGTTTAAGGACATGCTTTGGAGAACAAGGGGGTCAAAAGGACTGGTGATGGTTATACAAAGTTATATACCGTTTCCTTGACCCAGCTGCCCCCCACATGTCAAGACGATGTAGCGGACTATACAACCCATGACGCTTTCTGAAAGGACACCACATCATGGAAAAAGAAGGCAACGTTTTGTCACAAAGCAATGTATATATATATAGTACAGTGTACAGTCAACAATATGTCAAACGTGGCAATTGACCTCTTATAGGAGGCAGTTGTGACTGATAGGAGCCAAAGAGACAGTTCCATGTGCTCTCTTTGTAAGTGCTTGGTTTTGTCAACCCCCGAATCACAAGCCTCCTCACCTTCTCCGAAGCCTGGGTTCAGCGAGAATGGCAGGAGCTCTTCCGGGGGCCTCCGCCGGTCTTGAACGCGATGCTCGCAAAGCTGGCTGGGGAGGAAGATCTCAACATCCTCCATGGAGTCTTGGCGCTAAGATCCCAACGAAAAGTCTTTAGACTTCGGGGTCCTCCGAGGTCCGTAATTGATTGAAAAAACAAGAGCCCAACCAGCTTGCTATTTTTTGGTGGAGTGAACGTGTCGAGTCTTATTAAGTTATTGTTTTGTGCTTAACTTGGCAATGACGTCGATAATTGGTGCAGATTGAATGGTTTGAACTCACGCCTCTCCAGCGTTTGAAGACACAGATTTGGGGAGACTGTACCAGATTTCTGACATGCCATCATGTGGAACCTGAGACGTGCTCGAGCAATTCCCAAACAAAGCATGTCAGTAGTTCCTTAATTCCTTTCGGTGTTGAATCAGGTGCGGCAATAAAAACCCCCCCACTCTACCACTCTACATTAAACAGTTTTTGTCATTCCTATGGATTTGTTCAATGGTTTTCCCCATTCTTGCTGTAACTGTAAGTGTTTCTATTTTCTTGCATTTGTGGAAGCTTTCCAACCCTTGATTTCACAAAGGCTAGTCCTAGTTCCTATTCAGAAGTCTCACTTCAAGACGAATGCAAATGTAATTTTTCTTTGCCCCCCTATTGTCATAGATAGTCATAGACTCCAGCTAGTTGGGAGAGCCCTCACCGCTCTGAGCAGAGGCCCCGAGCACTCGGAGTCCCTCCGGTGGCCGCCCGAGAAACCCCGGCGCCACCGGAGCCGCTCGAGCGGATCCGGACGGGCAAAGACCTGATCCGGGCGTCCACCTCGCGGAAGCAAGGGCACCGTGCTGCTGGGAGGGGGGGAGCTTAGGGCTTAGGGTGGCTTATGGTGGGGTGGTTTTGGAGCTGATGATTGGGGTGATTCTTGAGAAAGACTCAAGCTTTGGGCCAGGAATCCGCAAACCAGCCCAAAACTGGCTCAAGAGTAGGCGGACAGACGTGGAGTGTTGCAAAGGGGACCTGGGCCCCGCCGTGGGCTGTGGAGGATTCGAAGAACAGATCAGGCGATCTCTCACATCGTGAACTTGCAACCTGTTTGCATCTTGGCTGGCCTGGCCCCTTGCCAGAACAAAACGGACCACATCTGAGGTTTCGTATTGCGGGCTACGTGGTCGAGGTGAAAGACTGCCGCGGGCCTTCTGGCGCTGCCCCTGCCCGTGTTTATTACGCACGATCCAGTGAGCAGCGGAAGGCGGGACTTAAAGCAGCTGGGGAGGGACATGTTCGTGCTGTGACAGCGCCCAGCCCCCTCGACACCTTCCAATATGTTTGCCGCGGTTTGAGCCGCCGCAGTGTGCTCAGAGACTTGTTTCAAACCGATTTGTTGGCACATTTGAGATGGGTTGTGACAAAAGAATCGTTGTGGTATGTACAGCGTCTGCTCACATCACTCTATTCTATGATACTTTATGGCATATCCCGCATATTCCTGGTGCTGGGTCAACAATTTGCAACAGTATTGATTGGACAGGACATGTCTGTGTTCCATGATTTTTTGCAGGATCATGAGTGGTGATGTGTTTTGATATCCAATTGTATTTGAATAGTTACTGATTGTTTCTTCGGCCTTGGGCTGCTAGAGAATCAAGGAAAGATTGGCAGATTGTTGGAGAAACTCCTCATGTCAATAACTGCGCCGTCTCAAATCGAGCGGCCGCGCCCTCAGAAACACATCTCAGCGGTTTGGTGGCTTAGAGGTCCTAGCCATCTTGATTAATTCTGAGATATTCTGAGGCGTTCACATCGGTTACAAGTGCCTACTCGTGCTGTCCAGGTGGATGATGTTGAGTTCCTAGTGCCACGGCTTCGCAGCACTGGCCAGGCCATTTGGCGGCGAGGCAGGGGGGTGGCCGGTACTGGCCCTGCGATGTCCTGCACTGCACGCTTATAAAAAGCCGCAGTCGGATCATGTCTGCTCAGTCGGCCGGTACTTCCTTCCTTTAGCAAAGGGTGAATCAGATCCTAGCCGCTGCTTGGGGCAAACTCATCATTTTAACAGGGTGGCTTTAGGACTGTGAGGGGTAGGGACGACACCTATATATCTAATATGTTACATAAGGGAACAGACCCATGTCAGTTGCAGTCAGTTGCAGTCGAGGTGGCAGGTATCAATTTCGTCTACGCGGATGCTGCGATCGATCGTCGGCTCCAGACCCATATTCACTTCGACAGGCAGCCTGGGTCACCAGGACAGTGTGGTGGGCTATGTTAACTGTTTTGGAGATGTAGTTGCAGCTGCCGCACCTCATGGGCGATGGGGGTAGTAGAGGCAGCGGTGTAGTTTGGACATAACTTGATCGTGCCATCCGGCTCTTGTGGGGGGTGCATGGCTATAGATTCGCATGTTCTGCCTAAAAAGCTTAAAGATGTGGCACTGTTAACTACATTCCGGAGTCGTAGTAGCTAGTTCGGGGTCAATGGACTGGTGAAGGGGCGAGCCATCCCCCCGAGCCGTGACATGGCATAGAGTTTGTGCGGGTGGGTGCTGAACATCAGGCAGCTAAGTCGGTTTAAATTGGTAAGGACCTTCTGAAGGCACTTGAGAAGGTTAACCGGGATGTGGATCTAACCAAGATTTTTGTGTGCAAGAAGATCTATATAGTACCTAAAACCATTGTAGGTAATGATATGTATAGTAGTTGTGCAATCTTTCCAGCAAGTCTACATGCTGAGGTGCAACACATACACTGCCCTAAAAAACAATCGCGTTTGGGTTTGGTACAGTGGAACGCCCCGCTTGCTGATTCTTCACTTTGCTAGGTGAACCACTCCCCTCCGTGCGCCTCTCAGGTGATCTCTGAGTGGTCGGAGGCCACGAGTCTCACCGGACAACGTCCCCGACTGCGGCGCTTCAAGAGCGCTCCGAGCCTTTGAGGTGTCAATGAGGAGTTGTTCCACAGCTGTGGGTCTGGCCGTGGGCCAGAACTTTGAAGGGTGAATATACATATTATTGGACAATCATGTATAATGCCGCTGCTTGAAACGTGAGTCATTGAAGACCTCAGAGCTACTTGAGATGCCAATGTACAACACTTGCTTGGGTCGTGGTTGAAACAGGGATTGCTGCCCGGGCTATCGCGCTATTGTGTTGGGAAAAGATCGACCTGGTGGAATTAGCATGGGGTGAAAAAAGACACATGATTGGAATATGGTATGGGGACATTTGCTGGAGTGATTGGATTACTTACCTTTGACTTGTCATATCCTCTCCAAGCAGAGCATTCAATTCCACTGGCTGTCATTAATTTAAACATGCATTTGATCAAATGACTTTGGTATGCCCCACTTACCTGTTAATAATGAAGATGGCGGGATGCAGCTTCCACCTGCACTGCACTAGGTTGCAATCCTTTCCGTTGCAAGAAGTATACATATAGTCTATATGCGAATGGAAGTGCAGCGACATGTACAGTGCAACATGTACATATATATATATACCATATGTACTTTGGCTCAAGGATCAAGCGACTAGAAAAGGTGCGGTTTCCGTTCCGACGCTACGCCGCTTATGGACCGTCAGTGATAGCTTCAAACTTCGCTGATTAAGATCCACTCGCAGGTTATCAGCCGTACGCGCTCTTTATAGCCGTACGAGCTACACGAGACCAAGAACAAGACTAGTCATTACAGAAACCTGCAATGTCAAGCTCAGGAGGAAATGGAAGCGAACCCTATTCATTCGCTGCTCCTGGTGGTCCCAACACCATTTCGTCACCGGACTCTACAATGGGTACTGATTCATCAGCAAATGCTGACGTTATCACTATGCCTACAGGATCACAAATCTCGGAAAGATCCGTGCCACCGGCTCGGAATCTGACCGATCTTGCACCCGTAGGACCAAGAAGATCGATGAGAGCTACAACAAGATCTACATCGCCTATAACGTCTACCGCGAGATCCCCAAGAAGGAGTATAGAGAAGAGACGTGACGATGATAGAGGAACAAAAGAGCAAAGAAGAGAGATTCAGCTGGGTGAAGAATTGAGATCGGCGAGAAACGCATACAATTTTCTTCATCAAGAATATGAATGCATCCAAGCCGGATACTCACGGCTACACCACGAGGCTGAAGTGGAGTTCAGGCAAATGTCTGACTACAACAGGAAGATGCAGGAACATCTACAGGAGATGACACAGGAGGATGAAGGAGCGACAATAAGAATTGAAGAGCTCGAACACAAGCTACGCTTGGCGGAATCGACAGCTGAACATATCTACATGAGATATCAAGAGCTTGCACAAGAAACTCATCAAGAACATTCAGAGCTTGAATCTGTGAAAGCAACGAAGGACAGAATGTCCCAAGAGCTTCAAGCAGCAATTGGACACATCCAAGACCAGAATGAATCTTCATTGGTAATCAATAGAAGATCAAAAGCCATTCAGGATGAGAAATGAGAACACAGCCTTCGTTGGAATAGCTGACCAGATACAAGCTAGAATGATTGCGCTACAGGATGAGAATGTCAACATGCATGAGGTGATCCAACACCAGAGAGAAGAACAATGGAACAGTGAGGTCAGGGAGAAACGTCTTCAACACAGTGTTCACTCATCTCAGGATCAGAGCAATCAGGAAGCTATGGTTATTGATCATCTACGAGGTCAACTAGCTATGGCACGTGGAGCTGAACTCAACGCGAAAGCGGAGATGGGAGAGATGGAAGTGGGCATGAGGATGGAGATGTTTATATGCCAGACTGAAGTCTCTGCTAAAGAAATGGCAGATGCGAGGGCGAGCCACCACGAATACGAAGCAAACGTCGCAAAAGAGGTTATCGCAAAAGGAGAAATATTCAACAACGAAGTCCTAGAAGGTTCCATCCGTGAACGACAACAATTGAAAGACGTCAACCTCGCTCTATCCGAAGCCAACGCACAGCTGAAAAGAGAGAATATGATGAGAGCTCCTATGTTCGGCGATGATGGTGCAGAAATTCAACAGAAGATTAGAGAACTGGAAGATGCACTATTGGAAAGCCAGAAGGAGACAAAGAATGTCATTATGGAAAATGCGAAATTAAAAGCAGAAGCACGAATGGCGCCCATAGTCTCTCGGTACAGCAAGCGTCCTAATTCCAGAGACCGCGGGTTACCAACCCACGTGTCCGAGGAAGATGAGGTTCGGAACGCAAAAGAGGAGGCGAAATACTACAAGGATGGGTACAATGAAATGACAGAGAGCCGAGATGAGATGTATGAATGGTATGCCGAAACCCACAATGAGTACGCCGAGGAAAGGGAGAAATCAATTGAGCTATCCGAGGCGAACAAATCATTGAGGGACAAGATTTCAGAAACAGAGGCATCCTCTTCATCTCATCTTGCACCGGCAACCTCTACTGTCATGAAAGTATCGAGGAAAGAAGAATCAAAGATAAACGTTCCGTCATGGCCCAGGATCAATGATATTGGATTATGGAAGGCAAATCTCATTCAATCGATCATCATTGCGGCCAATGACTCAGATCAGGAACCCTGGATCGACTGGATCAAAGAAGCCATGGATGATCCTGATCCGGACAAGTTTGTCGACTCAGGAGACCAAAGATTCCATTCAATCGATGCCAAACTCGGCCTAGCTCTTACCAAGGTCGTCATGGATGCGAAAGATGATGGTTCAGGTGTAGCTATGAAGTTGAGGACAAGGATCAATGCAAAAGGGAGAACATCAAGCCTCATAAAGGGAAGAGAGGTCCTAGCCCTGATCCTCATGAATTTCAAGACAACATCAAATGTGGAAGTCTTATATACTTCAATGCACCTCTACCAACTAGAATATCAAGGAGACAAGAACTTATCGTTGTTCTTCCACACTTGGGATGAGATTCTGGCAGGAATGAAGCCCGTTGACGTCCCGAGCGACGAAACTCTTCGGGATCTCCTATGGAGAAAGATCAGGAACTCAAACCTCATGGCATACGACATCAGCGCCTACAACAGCATGAACGACGATGATGCCAAGAAAACATACAAACATCTACGTGATATGATCAGAAGGCACATCGAACGGCAAACTGAAGACAGAATGATCCTGGAAAAGGAGAAGGCAGTGAAGAATGTGGCCAATATCTTTCAGAATCTCAAACCAGGCGGACCTGCTCCAAAACTGAAAGCTGCACCAGCTGATCCGAAGAAGAAACCAAAAGGGCAACAAGAACAGGTTGTCTCAGAAGACGCTGCTGCAGTGAAGCCGAAACCCAATCCCAAGAAGCATCCTGAAGACAAGAACAAAAAGGGAAAGGGGAAAGGTAAAGGTGATGGAAAGGATCGCAGCCGAAGTCCGAGTACAGACAAAAAGAAGATACCGTGCAAATTCTTCGTGAAAGGTAACTGCACTATGGGGAAAGATTGCCCATTCAGTCACAAGAAACCCAGATCACCATCCAGAGGACCTTCTGTCGGAAAGAATGACAAGCCAGTATGTTGGATGTGGATTCGAGGAACTTGTGACAAAGGGAAGGATTGCAAGTTCTACCATGACCCAAAAGCCTCTCCTAAGAAAGGGATATCTGCACCAGCTGACTCAGGAGACGATAGGCCAAAGCCCAAGGCAAAGCCCAAACCGAAACCTAAGGCGAAGCCTGGAGCCCCAGCCATTGGCGGTGAACTCTTCATGGACGAATCCGAAGATGAAGGGGTTGCTGCATCCGCCAAGGCGAGAGAAGGAGGTGCAAAGGTATCCTTTGATGAAGAGACTTGTGAGATCATGTTGAACGAAGCGATCTACTCAGTCAGGGACAAATGGAAGGTAGTAGAAAAGAAACCTCTACGTCCGGACATCAAACGATATGATGAGAAAGAGCTCACCTGCTACACGAGGAAAGAACAAATCAGATTTGAAGAAAAGGTCGCAGAGGCAAGAGGCATATTGATGGTCCCCTACACTGAGATCAAGAGGGTCCGAATACCAGTTGGACCAAAGGGTGACCTATCGGTCACTATGTCTTTTGATGAAGATGACGGTCTAGTTTTCCATCATAAAGTCATTCCTCATGTATGCGAGGGAAAGAAAGATCATGCAGACACAAAGACGTTGTCTATTCCAGCCAAAGGATCAAGAACGAAGTTCATCATGGACACAGGATGTGGGTATGATTTGATATCGAAAGGCAGAGCCAAGAAATTAGGTCTGGAAGTGAGAGAAAGCGACCAATCAATGTCATTCTATACCGCAAATGGAGTGACATCCACAAAAGGGGTCGCTGACATTCATTTCGACGAATTTGACTCTACCTACTCCCCATTCGTTCTAGATGAGTCTCCTTCAGTACTGTCTGTTGGAAAGAAATGCATGGAGGAAGGATACACATTCATATGGCCAGCCTGCGGCAACCCGTACATGATTTCCCCGAACTACAAGAAAATCATGTTAGAAGTAGAGGGAAACATCCCATATATTGTCAAGGGCAGTGACTTCTGTACTCCCACCGACGATACAAGGGCGGAGATGATCGCAAGGTTCACTCTAGGAGAAGATGAAGCCGATTACCGATCGACTTTCATCAATTGTGATGTGGATCCTCAAGGAATCATGTGTGATAATGACGACCTTCCTGTGATTGAACCTCCAAAAGTCAAAAGGCGAAAGAGGAATAAGAAATTCAAGGCATCTCCTGGAGAAGAAGATGAGGTAGGATCGGATGTCGCCGGAGACAGTGAACCAGAAGCTGACGATGATGATGCAGATGACATCGAGGTGGATGTCGTTGACGGTGCAAGTAGAATGGTGAGAAGAGGAACTCTGAAAGCAGATGCCAGGAAAATCGAGCATCTACTCACACATCGTTACAAGAATCCCTACTGTGAGTCATGCATCAGAGCAAAGATGAAACACTTCAAGACGCATCGAGGAGCGTTCAAGAGAAAGCTCAAAGCTTTTGGAGATCTGGTTACCTTTGATTTTGTCGATACGAGGAACATCCTTGATCAAGGGATCAGTACTGATCGAGAGATCTTCGTCATTCGTGACAGGTA